CGGTCTCTGCATGATAACTTTCTTCCGGAGCGGCACACCGCCAAGCCACGCCGCGCCACGCCACGCCACGCCAGTCGTTTCGCGCGCTACTCGTAAATCGTATTAGCATGACACCGGGCAAAAAGCGTTCGCGAGAGGTACACGAGCTCCCAGTCGAAGCGTTTCCAGGCCTCTAAATGGATAATGAGCATTAAATCACTCGCTAAATGTTACGCACCGGCGTCGCGTAATGCAACCGCGGACCGGGCCGCCGTAATTGCTCGTTCCGTTTGACCGATGGAACCGATGGGACCGACGGAACCGATCGGGCCCCGATTCCTTCCGATCGTAAACACGCTGATTCGTTCGACCGATCGATTACCGAACGACTTTTTTCCTAGTTACTATCGCTGAGGAATCGTCGACGGCCTCCGACGACGGCGGAAGTCGCCTCGAATCGGTGACGTTATTCCGTCGATCCTCGTGCCTCGTCGACGTTTCTATTTTTCTGTATGCAGTAAATTCTCTCGAATTGTAAAGAAAAGCTTGTAATAGAAAATGGACAATTTGCGTGGAGGAAATTATTTTATAGTCGCGAATTGTCAACGAGCCGCGAGGCTCGAATAATCGTGTCACCTTTTCCCACATTCTCCATTTTCGTGTACAATCCGAGCGTCAATTAGGGAGAATTTACTGTACACGTTATAAGTCTCTCTTGACTTTTAACGAAGCACAATATGCTTCACGCGAATCAAATGGAAGATATCGGAGTATTGTATTCGCGCGTCAGAAGGCGTAGCGAGCCAAATGTTCGGTGCCGGGTAATTCCGTGCCCTGTTGCGAATATACTAAATTCTCCGCACAGATTGTGCACAATATACAGGGTGTCCCACAATTATTTTAACAGCCGAAAATGAGGGGTAGCTGAGGTCATTTGAAGTAACTTTTTCCTTTGCGAAAATGCAATCCGCGGCTTTGTTTACGAGTTATTAACGAAAAACACTGGCCAATGAGAGGTGACGGTGCGAGAGAGAGGGTCCGCGAGAGAGTCCGCAGCACGAGGCTTTGACAGAAGGTCGGGACAGACTCGAGCTGCGTTCGAAGTATTGAACAAGTCACGAAGCGAGAACGTTCCGGATTTTTTTAACTACATAACAGTGATATTTTTAAGAAAAACGCTGTTCACCTTCACTTTAGAACGTCTGAAGAATATTCACTAATTTTTCGGACTCGAAATAATATGTAGTTTAACCGTGACAGTCGTTTTAATTTTCTGGTGTGCATGACACCTTATGTGTACCATATGAAATTTTTATGCAAGGTGTACAGTGAAGATTAAC